CAGGAGAATGTCTCCAAGTGATAAGGAGAATGTATGCAAATAATTACTTTACATAAAGTTACTTTACACTGTTACCTTGCAGTTTACTTTGAATAATTTCTTTAAATGATTACTTGATACAGTTACTTCAAATAGCAACTTTAAACAATTACATTACACAGTTACTTTAAACAATTACTTTACACAGTTACTTTGAATAATTACTTTACACAGTTAGTTTGAATACTTACTTTACACAGTTACTTTAAACAATTGTTTTATACAGTTACTTTAAATAATTACTTTACACGGTTACTGGGCAAGTTCACTGCTCAACATCAAAACATGTCTCCTGATGGACGAAACTTACAGGTGCAGGTGTTTGTCTTGTGTGAAGCACAGAGTGCAGGTGTTTGTTTGTCTTGTGTGAAGCTCAGAGTGTAGGTGTTTGTCTTGTGTGAAGCACAGAGTGTAGGTGTTTGTCTTGTGTGAAGCTCAGAGTGTAGGTGTTTGTCTTGTGTGAAGCACAGAGTGTAGGTGTTTGTCTTGTGTGAAGCTCAGAGTGTAGGTGTTTGTCTTGTGTGAAGCACAGAGTGTAGGTGTTTGTCTTGTGTGAAGCTCAGAGTGTAGGTGAAGGATAGAGGGTGTACAGCAGTCCGACACCCAAGACAACAGAACATGTGACTGCAAGCTAAACCCAGACTGTAATGACTGTATGATGTGTCAGCATTACACGAGGGCAACAATACACGAGGGCAACGCTACACTAGGGCAACACTACACGAGGGCAACGCTACACGAGGGCAACGCTACACGAGGGCTACACTACACGAGGGCAACACTACACGAGGGCTACACTACACGATGGCAACGCTACACGAGGGCAACACTACACGAGGGCAACACTACACTAAGGCTACACTACACGAGGGCAACGCTACACGAGGGCAACGCTACACTATGGCAACACTACACGAGGGCTACACTACACTAGGGCTACACTACACTAGGGCTACACTACACAAGGGCTACACTACACGTGGGCAACACTACACTAAGGCTACACTACACTAGGGCTACACTACACGAGGGCAACACTACACTAGGGCTACACTACACTAGGGCTACACTACACGAGGGCAACACTACACGAGGGCTACACTACACGAGGGCAACGCTACATTCGGGCTACACTACATTAGGGCTACACTACACAAGGGCTACACTACACAAGGGCTACACTACACGTGGGCAACACTACACTAAGGCTACACTACACTAGGGCTTCACTACACGAGGGCAACACTACACTAGGCCTACACTACACTAGGGCTACACTACACGAGGGCAACACTACACGAGGGCTACACTACACGAGGGCAACGCTACATTCGGGCTACACTACATTAGGGCTACACTACACAAGGGCTACACTACACAAGGGCTACACTACACGTGGGCAACACTACACTAAGGCTACACTACACTAGGGCTACACTACACGAGGGCAACACTACACTAGGGCTACACTACACTAGGGCTACACTACACGAGGGCTACACTACACTAGGGCTACACTACACGAGGGCAACACTACACGAGGGCTACACTACACTAGGGCTACACTACACGAGGGCTACACTACACAAGGGCTACACTACACTAGGGCTACACTACACGAGAGCTACACTTCTACACGAGGGCAACACTACACTAGGGCTACACTACAGGAGGGCAACACTACACGAGGGCTACACTACACAAGGGCTACACTACACGAGGCCAACACTACACTAGGGCTACACTACACGAGGGCTACACTTCTACACGAGGGCAACACTACACTAGGGCTACACTCCAGGAGGGCAACACTACACTAGGGCAACACTACACAAGGCCTACACTATATTAGGGTTACACTACACAAGGGCTACATTACATTAGGACTACACTACACAAGGGCTACACTACACGAGGACAACACTACACAAGGTCAACACTACACTAGGGCAACACTACACAAGGCCTACACTACATTAGGGCTACACTACACGAGGCCAACACTACACTAGGGCTACACTACACGAGGGCTACACTTCTACACGAGGGCAACACTACACTAGGGCAACACTACACAAGGCCTACACTATATTAGGGTTACACTACACAAGGGCTACATTACATTAGGACTACACTACACAAGGGCTACACTACACGAGGACAACACTACACAAGGTCAACACTACACTAGGGCAACACTACACAAGGCCTACACTACATTAGGGCTAATGTCCTCAGTCGTGAGACCAGTGAATGAGGTGGGAGACACAACAGCATCACACGTTGAACAGTACTGCAGTAATATCACCATTCTTTTAATAGGATACGGTGATGTTTAAAAAAATTCAATCGACGTAAGAGGCACCATTACAATGGATAAAGAACATGGGGTGAAGATCGTGGCAGGACGTCTGTTGCCATGTCATACTATCGGATCCAAGGCCAATTCGAGTGAACATACATTCGTCAACTCTCTGAAGGATCGACATACTTTAACTGAATATGTTTTCGTCTTTGTTCGAAGATTGTTAATATTACTTTCATTCAGCCACTCATGATGATTAACATATTCAAATCCATGGCCAGGAGCTACAAAGTAACATATTTTGTAGATAAATACATGTATTTTAGCGCAATTGTTGTAAGAAGCGTACGTAAAATAATGAAAATTTCTTTCCCAGGGGAAATAACTCTTTCACATCTTCCTTATCGTCTGAATGAAACTATCAGTTAAAGTTAAGAGGGTTCAATTCTCTCCAATCACTAATATTTTTTTATAGCCAAAATACCCTTTCTTGGTATCCAAAAAGAAAAGAAAAAAAAAGAATGAAAATGTTTTGTGAATTAACTGTAAGGTAGACATCCATTTATGAATTAAACTTTTACGTTGTTGTCATTGTGTGATATTGATAAATTCCATTATACGATGGAAAGTTTAAAGAGTTAAGACCTGTTCCTGAGTGAGCGTATACATTACGCCCAGTAATATTCAAATATTGAGGCGTGTGTGTGTGTGTGTGTGTGTGTGTGTGTGTGTGTGTGTGTGTGTGTGTGTGTGTGTGTGTGTAAATATATGTAAGTGTGAATGTGTGTGCGTTCGTTCGTGCGTGCGTGTGTCAGATGACGTGTTTTGTATTTAAACAAATGCCTTGTACAGCGTTCCTCTCGATACCAAAGCAACATGTGTACAGATTAATTACACTCATACAACAAGTACTTATTGCGGGCATTGATTCAGGTGAGGTGAAATAGGGTTTGATCACATGATCTAAATATAATTCAAACTGCATATACCTTATCCACTCATTACGACTTTTTTCAAAATGATTTTTATATGATTAGGAAATATGGATCACATAATGGATGAGACTCAACATCTGTTAACACGTTCCACAAAACAAAATAGAGAATTACATATGCATATGTAGCTTAACAGATTTGTCAAAAACGGGGTTACATTTAAGATATGTTAAAACTATCCGCGCCAGAAACACCCACTTTAAACACATCCTTGCTCTTCCTTTGCAACGTTCGTTAGTAAGTTAGTTGACATATTTCAACCACATGACGTCACGAATCCCCAGCATCACATATACAAACAACAGGAGTGCGAGACAGAAGATGGTTTCCGTTTCTAGTTGAAGCGCTCGGAAAATATTTAGAGCACCATTTGTAAGGGAGATAACTCTTCTTGTCCTATGCATATAAATGATATTCTCGGATACTCTAGTTGGACAATGAAATGGGTTTCAACGTTGCATTCAAGATTACAGCGACGAGCACTAGTCCGGACATATGCTGGGTTCATACTACTTTCCCACTGAAATACCATGCAACATTTTAACATCAATACCCCACTGGGACACAGTGTACTGACTCCGAACCGACCAGTCCCTGATTTATCCCATTGAATGCCGAACGCCAGGCAGGAAAACAACAAGTACCATCTTTTCACGTCTTTTGGTGTGCCCGATCAGTGAATCGAACCACCGACCTTCCGATCTCCGGGCAGACGCTTTACCGTTACACCACGGAAGCGGTCTCATCTCGTTAAGAAAATGCCCTTCACATAAAGTAGAAATGAGGACACAAAGCTGTTTGTAATAACCACCGTCTGTCCCATAAAACCACTGAATAATTCACAAAGCATAACGCTTAAAACCACTAGTACTTGTGGTGATCGATTTAATATAATTAATAAAAAAAAATAATAATACAAATGTAATTTTAACATTAGCCTATACTTCATTTACACCAACGTAGTTGCAATATGTATATATGTGTTGGGCTCAGAAAAAAAAATCCAGGTTAAAAAACACCTAGTAAATAAGCGCACCATACTATCAGCTCGTGTTGAAAGTCATGTGATCGTCCAATGTGGAATGGGGGGACACACATTTAATGTCCTCGAAATATTGAATAGTGGTATGAAGCTATGGAAGCGCCCGTAAAATGACTTCATACTGCCCCTGTCAGACAGTTAGTGAACTGGCACACTTTCTATCAGCGGGGAAGAGGCTTGTCGCCAGCATGGGTGGCGATGGGTAACGTGAACAGACGAGCCTGAGTTCCTGTGTGGAGGCCCCGTACCCCTTGTGTATTGGATGATAACAATGTGATAACGATGATAACGAACCGATAACAATGTGAAATATGCAAGTAAATAATAATGTAATTCCCATTGCAAACACTTCGCATCGCATTGCAGAAGTTCTGCGTGATTATTCATGACTCGAATTGCTTAAGCGCATTAACTATTTCTCATCATAGGATTTCGGCTATACATTCACGAAAATTTACGAAAGTCCATATTTCTTGTGAGAATCTACGACCATGAATGCTTCAAACATGTACTGTTACATGTTACGAGGAAAACGGTAGCAACGCGATAATTCGATGTCTTCCCTGAAAATGTGGATCGCAGATTAAACAAAAACAAAGTCAATTTGTTTGAATCTTACCTGTAATCGTTCCCGCGTCCAGCTGATTGATCAGACAGGTAAACAACCTGACGCTCGGCGCTGTGGTGACCCCAGTGAGAGGTCACGCTGAGAATCACTCAAAGTGTCGTACATCCATCCACTGAATCCCCGACTGCCTCCGCAGTGATCCATCGCGAATACACCATCCACAAGGCTGGAACCACAAGAATCCACACCATGTACTCTCCATTTGAGGCACTCTCTAATCCATCTTTAATCCATCTGGGGTACTTTCCTATCCATGATAATGAATTTTCTAAAAGAAATATTCTTTGATCCTTGACAAACAACTTCACATCTGATTAAATGTCCCAGGAATTTCTTATCCATCCGATGTAATATTCCATCCATTTCACATCCATCTGGTGTGATATCTCATCCATTTCACATCCACCTGGTGTCATATTCTATCCATTTCACATCCATCTGGTGTAATATTCCACCCATTTCACATCCATTTGGTGTAATATTCCATCCAGCACATCAATCTGGATAACATCCCATCCATTTCACAGCCACCTGGTGTGATATCCCATCCTATTCACATCCATCTAGTGTAATATTCCATCCTATTCACATCCACTTGGTGTAATATCCCATCCATTTCGCATCCATCTGGTGTAATATCCCATCTATTTCACATCCATCTAGTGTAATATTCCATCCTATTCACATCCACTTGGTGTAATATCCCATCCATTTCGCATCCACCTGGTGTAATATCCCATCTATTTCGCATCCATCTGGTGTAATATCCCATCCATTTCACATCCGTCTGGTGTAACATCCCATCCATTTCACATCCATCTGGTGTAATATTCAATCCTATTCACAACCATCTGGTGTAAGATCCCATCCATTTCACATACATGTGGTGTAATATTCCACCCATTTCACATCCATCTGGTGTAATATTCCATCCTATTTACATCCATCTGGTGTAATTTCACATCCATTTCACATCCATCTGGTGTAATATCCCATCCATTTCACAACCATCTGGTGTAATATCCCATCCATTTCACAACCATCTGGTGTAATATCCCATCCATTTCACATCCATGTGGTGTAATATTCAATCCATTTCACATCCATGTGGTGTAATATTCCATCCATTTCACATCCATGTGGTGTAATATTCCATCCATTTCACATCCATCTGGTGTAATATTCCATCCATTTCACATCCATCTGGATAATATCCCATCCATTTCACATCCATCTGGATAATATCCCATCCATTTCACAACCATCTGGTGTAATATCACATCCATTTCACATCCATGTGGTGTCATATTCCATCCATTTCACATCCATCTGGTGTAATATCCCGTCCATTTCACATCCATCTGGTGTAATATCCCATCCATCTGGTGTAATATTCCATCCTATTCACATCCATCTGGTGTAGTATCCCATCCATGTCACATCCATCAGGTGTAGTAACATATTCATTTCAAATTTACATGTAGAAAGGTCTAATCCATGTTATTGGGTGCTCTGCTCCCCAATATTGTTAAGTATATTTCATGCAACATGTTCACCCTGGGGTTCCCCCAAAGTGGGATATCTCGCACCTTTAGCTCCTGATGAAAATCCACATGGCATACTCAAATCCATCTCAAACCCAGTGCGTCTTCTCAGGCGCGCTTTCATTCATTTCACGTCGTCTTCACTCACATGAGATACTCAGTTATCCATAGAGTTTAGTCTTCTGTCCATAAAATGTAGTCTTCTGTCCATAAAATGTAGTCCTCTGTCCATAAAATGTAGTCATCTGTCCATAAAATATAGTCTTCTGTGCATAAAATGTAGTCTTCTGTCCATAAAATGTTGTCTTTTGTTGTCGACGTACGCTACTTCACAGGTCTGTGACCAACATTTCAACAACATGGACGGTTTCCTTATTCCTAATGATTGAATTGAATTGAATCACATCTGGTCACATGATGCCACAACCACAGATATCCGTGACAGATATATGTGACATGTGTCACAGCAAACCGACCTGGATCAGACACTCACGTACCACATTCAGGAACTTCACATGGACGTCTTTCCACACCACCACGTCGACGAATTTCGGTTTCTCTTAAACACATTTATGGAAATCCAAATAATAATTATAATCATTATCCATCTGAATTTCTTCACCATTTACGTTTTAGTTTCGCTGTCCTGTCACACAAGACAAACTATGATATTGCACAATTGCACACATTCGAGGTCAGAAATCCAGCATCCTTGTCGATTTCACTTTAATCCGATTGTTGATTGGCATAGGCACATCGTTGTTATCTCATGCAGGTTAAATCCACGTGAGCTGATCCTACATCCACACACAGGCATCTTCCTTGATTCAGATAAGCACGACTGACATCTGGAAAATAGAACCTGTCACTTTAGCCTCACAATGACTCAACAATATTTCTATACTCATAATATTAAAATATAATGTAAGGAATAACGAGACTCGTGAAGATCCGGGTAGAGAATAGGACTTCCGCAAGCCTTGCTTGTCGTTAGAGGCGACTAGCGGGATCGGGTGGTCAGGCTCGCTGACTTGGTTGATGCATGTCATCGTATCCAAATTAAGTGGATCGATGCTCATGAAATCAATCACTGGATTGTCTGGTCAATACTCGATTATTTATAGATCGCCGTCATATAGCTGTAATATTGCTGAGTGCGGCGTTAAATAACAAAAACACAAGGAATAACGAATATTTTTCGCAGTCAGTGATATGACGACTGTAAATAAACATATTTGGAAAAACAAATAAGTGGTGTTGACTCGTTTCATGTTAAACAGAATTACAACTGAGACTTCCGCGTTGATAATTAACTGTAATAATAATAATAATAATAATAATAATAATAATGATGATGATGATGATGATGATGATGGTAACAACAACAACAACAACAACAATTATAATAATAATAATAATAATAATAATAATAATAATAATAATAATGATAATAATGATAATAATAAAAACCATATAACACATTTCTTATAGACATTTTTAATTATTTCTTATTAAGTGTTCGTGCCATGAAGTGAAACATAGAAGCATAAAAAAAATAGTAAAAAATAATTGTCAGAACATATGTAACTAAATAAAATAAGAACTTAAATGACATAAATATTTATCTTTAATTAAAGTCAAGAAAAAAATAAATAAAAATTAATGGAGTTCCACGTTCCTGGCAAACGTGGATAGAAAAGTAGAAATTCCGAAAGTGTCAGCAGTGTGATCAACCAAAACAAAAATTAAAATTACAACCTAATACATATCAGCTTCACACAAGTAACTGCTACATGACGCCGACAAGGAACTTATATCCCGATCTACCGGCAACACTCGCCGCGTGTGGCGGGTGAAGTCGGTGATCCGATTAAAAAAAAATATGTTGCTTTTCTCTTACCAATTATAACATAAACGACTCACCAGTGAACCCACATGCGAACACGAGAACACCTGCAACTAGATATCATACGCGTTAAGTCAAACCGGCTACAGTGTCACGCCTTCGTTACCCATGGGAAACAGATTAGTTCTACGTTGAAAAATGCTTTATAAATGTCCTTCCCTAATGCATCTACGAATTCGACTATTGTTACAAATTCAAGATGAAAAGGTGTGCCCATGTTCGATCAATTTTAATCACAATTCAATTCTTAGCAAACCCGAAGGTAAATGTCAATCAAATGAATAAATAGCACGACTTGGTGTCAACATAATTGTCAAATTGTATAAAATACAATGCTCATTATTCAAAAATATCAATTGGTGAATTGAGAAACGAGACGAGTATTGATGAAATGTCTATCCCTAATTGGCACCCGACATTGCTCGTCAATACGCTTCAGTTTCATTTCGGATTGTTAATTGTCGTCTTTTGTTATGATAAATACTGGCGTGATATGAATTACATATCGTTTTGTTGTCTAATTAGACAGCGCTAGTGTATATATTGATCTTACACAAGGTCAATACTACTCGAATGTGTCATTGTATTTGTTACAGGCTAATAATGCTGAGATGTATGACATATGTTGGAGGAATGAGAGAGGACACAGGGGAGAGAGAGAGAGAGAGAGAGAGAGAGAGAGAGAGAGAGAGAGCAAGAGAGAGAGAGCAAGAGAGAGGGAGAGAGAGAGCAAGAGAGAGAGGGAGAGAGCGAGAGAGAGAGCAAGAGAGAGGGAGAGAGCGAGAGAGAGAGCAAGAGAGAGGGAGAGAGAGAGCAAGAGAGAGAGCAAGAGAGAGGGAGAGAGAGAGAGCAAGAGAGAGAGAGAGAGCAAGAGAGAGGGAGAGAGAGCAAGAGAGAGAGGGAGAGAGCGAGAGAGAGAGAGCAAGAGAGAGGGAGAGAGCGAGAGAGAGAGCAAGAGAGAGGGAGAGAGAGAGCAAGAGAGAGAGCAAGAGAGAGGGAGAGAGAGAGCAAGGGAGAGAGAGAGCAAGAGAGAGGGAGAGAGCGAGAGAGAGAGAGAGAGTTAGAGAGAGTGTGTGAGAGAGATATGAATACATTTACATTTGAAGGTGACGGTATTTCAATGTCCTTTCAAACCAGATTCTTTATATTGTTGTAAAGATATTTCACCCTTGTATGAAGGCGTCCTTAAAGGGCTTGACTTCATCATAATGTATAAGGATCTGCTTTATAAACACCATTGCAAATGACGACTATTTCCAGTTCACCGTATCGTCATCATTGCTTTATTGGTTAAACAAACCTAACCTAGGTATTAATTACAGACGTCGTACACACATGTACATCATTCATAGTGTTATACTTTAGTTTAAATGACTAACGTAAACGTTTAATCTTGTCAAGTCAGTGTATATATAAACGGCCAGGCTAAAGAAAGTATACACTTGACAATTAGATTTTACCAACAAATTACAAGCTTTTTGAAAATGTTGCTACGCTGAAAACAGTCGCCAAATATTGAAAACGTAACTATAGTAACATGACAGAATTGGGTGGTCCTTAACCGGTAGTGGCTAATATGTTGCTATTTCGTTATACAAGGGTTCGACTGTATAGGAGCTTCTCCCACAAACTTCGCTCAGTTCATTATTGTTCTTATTACAAGGTAATAACATAACTACAGTAAACTACGCTTATGACGAAAACGCTTATAACGAACTGACGGATGTAGCAAACTCAATGTTTGGTCCCGGGAGTTTGCTTACATGCTTACACGCTAATAACGAACTCCTGTTATAACGATCTAAATTAGTGGTCTCTTTGAGTTCGTTATAACCGTAGTTTGTTGTACATTGTATTTAATTCACTCACGTCTAAATTATTCAAATCATACACAGGTAGATATTTTTATCTCAAAGGACAGTCGGGCATGTTATGGATATAGCAACAATTTATCGCCAATAAATTACAGTTTCATACAGATAACTGCTAAATGACATGGTCAAAGAACTTATATTCTGATCTACCGTCATGTTAGGGTTAAAGTCGGTGATCCGATCCTTACAAAAATGTGTTTGCTTTAATAATAAACAAAATAGAAACTACTTGAAACATATGCTCCCAGATATCAAACAGACCGTCTCAGCGATCAAGTGCATAGAGTATCTGCCCGGGAGCGTCAATCCAACATGCTTTTATAGATGGTACTTGTTGTTACCCTGCCTGGCGTATTGAGGGAGATAATTGGTCGGCTCGGAGTCAGCATGCTGTGTCTGAGTGGGGTATCCATGTTAAGCTGCGGCATGGTATCTCAGTGGGCTAGCACTATGAAACAGGTATTAGTTCGTACAAGTACAAGCAGCCACACGCACGCAAGCACACACGCACACACTGCATGCGTTATATAAGTGCTATAATCCTGAATGTAATGTTAAACCCCATTGCATCTCACCTAGATATGAAACACCTATGGACTATGTATGGACTTTGGACTACGAAAACCTGCACCTGTACATCCAGTATAGGACATAATAGACAATATTTTGTCTCTGTCAATCCAGATTAACAGAGTTCGCTGACGCTCAAGTCACTACAATTAAAAATAAAATCTTCACCATTAAAGGCCAAAGGTTCGGATTTCACATTTTCAAAAATAGATTCAATATACAATTAACTTAAAAACACACCATTCATTTGAAGTAAATGACGTCGTTGTTAGTATGTTCTCGGGTGGAACCAGACCGCACTCACTGACCTTCATGCGACACTTATTTCACTAAACAGTCTCACATGAAACAAACAAGCTGTCATCAGCTGATGCTGAGCTCAATTACATAAAACAATACACTTATCTTACCCATTCGTTCGTTGATCCTACGTTCTCAAGTAGAACTCAGCGTACTAATTGACCCTCAAGTGATAGCTATTTCATTAGAGGTGAAACAGACAAGCTATCAACAACCGGTGCCTATTTCAGCCATGCAGATCTATCACCACAGAGCAGCATAATGTGACACTTACTGAAATATACATGATAATGACAGACCGGCATATTCAGCCAGTTTACAAACATTCATTTCGATCCCAGCCAACAAAGCGAACAGTAGTTGTGTTGTTAAATATTCTAAGTATTGTTGTCGCGCTATTCACAAGTTCAGATGCTCGACACCATATGGAGGATGGCTCTCTGTCAGTGAAACGGTGTGTCTTTTCTCTCGTAGTAACACATTGTTGTTTTACAATCACACCGGATTCACGAGGGTGTAGTTATTGTCATAATGGTTTGTACCTATCAATATTTACTGGCATTTTTTATTGTGAATAACATAGACTATTGAATGTATTTCTATACACAGATGAATATTCACATTTTGTGTACATTTCATATAAAGGCGTGCTGATTGAATGTGCTTGGTAACTGTCGGTGCTTCTGTTAGACAGGTGTTGGTTGGATGGACGACAATAGCATTACGAGTAAACTATTTGTACGTGATAACAAACATACATATTAATATAACTGATCGAGATACACGATATAATACCAGCGGGACAAAGATCTGTCTTTTCTGATTTTAATAAGTACTTCGACAGTATTCTGACACTGGGTTAACTGGAAACCCCATGGCCATACAACGTATGTCGAGTTTTCCGCACTTCGAGACAAGCTGATATGTCGACTTCGACATATCATTGACATGATGACGTTAAATCGACTTCATGGACATTATCGAAAAAGTCGATCAAATCATATCGCGTCTCTATCAAGTGGTGATATCAAATGTCGACAGTCTACAGGTGATATCTATCAAGTTTTCAGTCTATAAGATAGGGATATCATATATCGACGCTCTAGGGATGAGATCATAATACGACATACTACAGGTGATATAACATTTTCACAGTCTATAGGGCAGGGATATCACATATCGACGCTCTACTGGTTGA